GACAAAAATGCAGCCACTTTCTACAAAGCCTTGTAAAAATGAAATGATGCTGCCCGAGATTTACCAATGCACATTTTGAATATTTAAATGTGCATGTTATTGGATTCAGTGTTGAATAAGATGGAAAAATGAAATTTAGATTTGAAGAGTTATTACATGCAAATGTCACCTATTCGTGGAACCGCCGCATTCATATTTTTTGTGCGACTGACAATTCCATAATATTCCTTTAATATAATTTATATATTCATGACCTACAAGACGACTTCTTCTGGAATCTGGGCGCTGCTGATCGTCGCTAAAAATATACGTCAGAAGTGATGTCTTTGTCCAATACGCATGCGCATAGCATGTTTCTGTATAAACAACTAGAAGGAATTTACAACGGTGGGTGATAGTTGTATCTTTTAACACGAATTGTGTCATATTCATTAATATTACCGTGGTGGAGCCCTTCTCGTGACACTTCGCTATAAAAATGCTAATTTATTTAAAAATCTAATGTATATAATAAGTACCTCTGCTTATCCTGATGCGTTTCCTGTTAGTCGCTTTGTTTAGTATTGTATGGCAACTCGCTGAAGCATAAGGATCTTCTGTTTTAAGCAGATGTTTTCATATAGGAAGAGTTATTTATACTGCTTGGGTACCGTTTTGTCCATTTCCTATTCATATTTTGTGGTTTTTGATTTTTCTTAATCGTTCGTGAACAGCAAAATGCCGATTTGCACTTGTGAACCGGCAGCTATAAAGTTAAGGATGCAAATGATAAAACCAGTGTTGCTAAAAGCTATAGATATATCGACCACGCGGAAATATTTAAAACAAAAATAGTTGAACTGGAATTTGCTTTTATACAGTTTGCTCGGTCCCTGTAAACTCAGACCTCCGATAAAACGTGATGTCATAACGAGTGTATCTGCGCGCTCAGATACGTTCGCTTTCATGCAAATGGAATGTAGAAATACCACGTTTTTAATCGTCATTGAAAAGTTGAGTGACAAATTCATGTTGCTATTTAAATGAAATAGTCAGCGTCTCGTGTATGTTTTTGCCTTTTGCTTTATTTGTATAGTCTCACTGCTGTTTTCGTTTCAAAGATCTGGTCGGCGAGAGACCCAAATACGTGAAGGAGAGGACGGCCTTCTCCGTTTCACATAGCCACTGGAAATGAAGGGGTGAGTTAAACGGGATACTTCTGTTAAAAAAACAAACAAAAAAAAAACAGTATTTATGGCGTCATCCGTCTGATGAAACAAATTGGGTGTTCATGTTGTTTTTCATGACTTTACAATTCAGACAACAAAAAAGTCCAGACTCGGATGGGAATGTTCCTGTTATTGAAGAAGGTGAGGACATTTAATAACATAACTTATGTGAGATTATTATTATTTTCTAGGGCGGGGGGTTCCCAAGCCTGGGTGACCTCTGATGTAAAAATGGAAACTGCTAAACTTACCAAATGCTGTTTTATATACAGGTGCTGTAGCTACTGCAGAAGACCCCTCTGCTATTGCTACTATCCAATCAGCAGCCACCTTCTCATCAGAGCAGCCAATCAAATACCTGTTCAAGACGGAGGCGGCTGGGGGGCAGGTAGGGGAGCTGTACCCTCCCATCGGGCAGGTAGGATAGGAGAGGACAGTCTGCTGACCGCCACACAGCCAGTGTGTTCCACTTCAGCCCTGCAATGTTGACAATGATCTGCATTTCCCTGGTTCATGCTGTTCTCCTTTTCCATTCCCATGTAACCATGTTTGTGGTGTGGGCGTCATTCTCAGCCGTGACTCCCTGTGTGATGTTCGTCTGTGTGTGTCTGTGTCCCACAGGTGACATACCGTGTGATCCAGGTTTCAGACGGACAGTTAGAGGGCCAGACGGACGGGGCAGCGGCTGTCAGTGTGGTTGCTGGATTTCCCGCAGCGACACAGGCTGTCACCCAGGTACTTTTGCCCAGAAGGACGTTGCTGTGCGATGCCGACTAGTCCCCTGTTACTGCTTAACATGCTCTTGAACACTGGACATAGCATTTTTACAGACCATTTCCATAATCATATTGGGTTTTTTTAAATATATAGAATTTTTATAGTATTAGGACATAGATTTTTGAAATCATGCATATAAGATTGTCATGCTTATAAGCACAGCCTTGGACTCAAAGACTGGTCATCTGCATTGCAGGCTGTGTTCTCGCAGTTATAAACACAGCCCTGGGCTCACAGACTGGTCGTCTGCGTTGCAGGCCGTGTTCTCGCAGTTATAAACACAGCCCTGGGCTCACAGACTGGTCGTCTGCGTTGCAGGCCGTGTTCTCGCAGTCTGATGCCCTCGATGGCGACAGCACTGAGACTCACTACACCTATTATCCCGCCACCATCTCTGATGGCGCGTCAGGTGCCATGGTGACCAGTGTTCAGGCCCCAGACGCCCTGCTAAGCCAGAACACACCAGCAGGTGGGGTGTTTGAAGCATATTTCTCACTGTGGTTTTCAAACAGCAAAAATATATTTTTAACGTTCAAATCTGACTAATGTGCTTCTAACCCTTTGTCATATGCAACTGACTCTGTTATCCACTGTGTTCCAGGACAGCTCTATGTGATGATGTCACCCCAGGAAGTGCTGACAGGAACCAACCAGAGGTCCATTGCGCCTCGTACACAGCCGTATAACATGTAACGTTTCCCTCTCGACGCCCAGGATACGGCACGGCAAGGCCGGCTGTCCCTTATGGAGGCTGCCACTTGATTAGCCAGTGACGCTTTTAGATTTGTGCTTCAGCCCAGTCCTGACCGCACACACAGCCCCAAGCAGTGCCTCTGCGTGTCGCATCACTCGTGCTTCCTGTTGGTTTTGTTACAGCAAATCAGAGGTGCCCCGGACTTCCCGGGATGAGAAGAGGCGTGCCCAGCACAATGAAGGTGAGCCTTACCCTTCATTGGCTACTTTTATCACCTTAAAATAACAATAATAATAATAGCAGCTACTGAAAGGTGAGATGAGATAAGATTGTTTAGTGCCACACATTGTTTTGAATGATGAAGGTCTGGGAAAATCGGGATAGTCTTCGGTGTAACTAGATGGTCTTTCAGCTGCACCAGTTTTGTTTGTCTTTCAGTTGAACGTAGAAGGAGAGACAAAATTAACAACTGGATCGTCCAGCTGTCCAAGACCATCCCCGACTGCACCATGGACTCCACCAAAACTGGCCAGGTGAGGGGCCATCTCGGAGCTTTTCGCCTCCGGTGTTCCTGGTATGTCGGTGTCTGTGGCCGGTTACTTCAGAAGGACTGTATTTCAGAGTAAGGGGGGCATCCTGTCCAAGGCGTGTGACTACATCCAGGAGCTCCGGCAGAGTAATATCCGGCTGGGAGAGGAGCTGAGCACCCTGGAGAGGCTGAGGATGGACAACCAGCTCCTGCACCAGGAGGTCTGGCTCAAAGCAACTTACATTCTAAATAATCATCTTCTTCATGGTGGCGCCTCACGGTGGTCCTTTGTGGTATATGCTTATGAGAAGGTTTTCTGATGTGGTTTCATTTTCAGACATTGCGTTTGTAAGGCCCCTCTCCGTCCTTTCACAGGTAGATGACTGGAAGTCCAAGAACCAGATTTTGAGGAACCAGCTGCGGCAGCATGGAATCGTGGGAGCGGGGGGTGCTGACCCCCAGTGAGGAAAGATCGGAGTGATGAGGACGCAGAGCATTGACCTTATCAATGGCTGGCACCGGATACCACACCGCAATCCATTAATGGAAGGTTTACCACATTTTAAGGCAAACTGAAGATTTGTCATTCCACGGAAGGCAGGAGCTATTGGCCAGAACTGCTCAAACCCGCAACAAAACAACAGGACTCAGACTCTCAGTAGTTGACCAGGGCTGCTTTGTGTAGATCCCTTGATCACTTCTAGGCAAGACCATCTGGCCAGACGTGAGTGTGAATTTATTACATACGAAACCTTTTTCCCCAGCTTCCTTTTAATGTTTTCATTAACAGTAAATATATAAGGAGAGACTTTGAATGAACTGAAGTGGCGATCGAAAGCCGCCATCGGCAATTAACTGGAAACACCGGCTTGACCATCATCCAGAATGTTTTTCAGATCGATCGGGGATTCGAATGCGGAATGTCTGCAGATTCATAACCACCTCTTCTAAACACCGGTATAAAGCATCTTCATCTCTGAGACCTCCACAGATGCAACAAAAATTGACCAAGTAGGGTCAGTATATAGTAAACACAAGTTTGTAAATTCCACGAAAGTTTTTACCTGAGCACACATAATCAGTGGTACAAGGATTTTTGGAAGTGCTCATCAACATCTGTACCTTGTATGGAAAAATACAATTTGTACAGTTAATATTGTGTGTTTCTGTCTTGTAAATTATTTTGACCGCCATCACTGGCTCAGAAGGTGTCCTTTTTCATGAGCCCTGCTCTCTGAGGAAGATTGGAGCTCAGTTTGTCAGAAGCAGCAGGTGGTTCTTCCTGTCTCCCCCCCCCGTGCATGTACATGGCTGCAAGACCGACTCATGGACTCTTATTTTAATAACTTTTAGGTGAAGCTGAAATGTAAGGAAAGACATATGAGGGAAAAATGATTTGCGATATGATTTATTATGTAACTGGGCTTCATCCCTGTTCTAGGTACTCCGCATTTTGTCTTTGCTCTGTCTAGTGGTCCGTTTTCTTATTTGCACCGTGTGCCATAACTACAGATACAAAGTTATTTATATGTTAATATTTCAACTCATTTCAACTTCTATTACCTTTTCCAAACAAAGACCCTATGACTTAAGCTTGCAAACTGGACATACATTAGCATTGCCGCCTTCCGTGTCAATAGCTGTATTGTACTTTGATCTACTTCAATAAAGATCACTTACGTTTGTTCTCTCTTTGTATTTCACGTATATCTTCCGGCACTGTTCCTTGGTATTTATTGTTCGGCCAGCGGATATACTCCACATGACACCGGACTGGCTCTTCATTTTCTTCTAATCTCCCAGTTTGGCCGCTGGTTAATCATTTTGGGTTTGGGAACGAAGACGAGCCGAAACGCGCTTGTTATACCAAAATCAGCTTCTTTACGTTATACTCAACACGTGGAAAATTATGTCAAATCAGATGAACACATTTTACTGCTGGTAGTAAATCCTATCTGTAGTAGGAAATACAATAGAGAAACAAGAAAAATATTCGGTATAACTATAGAAAACGGTAGCCCATTCTCCTTTTTAAGACGGTAGTAGTTTCTGAGCCTTTCCCGTTATTCCCCCTTTCCACCTGTGCCAGGTGGAGCGCCGGAGGGGGCGTTTATCACCGCCAGCTCACCGGGTTTCACGCAGGTCGCGGCTGGCGGATCAGTTTCGCTCCTCCGCCGAATCGAAGTGGACAGGCAATCCCTCTCGGTTGCGCTCGCAAACATGATATTGCGCTACTTCTTTTATCTCTTTTTATCGGCCACCGGTAAGAAACATATTTCGTTATAATTCCTCGGTCTAAAACGTCCGTGTTGGTATTTCTCTTCTGTGCCGTTCACTGTGTTTAATTTGCTTTCTGGAGTTTCATGTAAGTTGGGTACTGCTTACTTAGGTCATGTTAATATGTAATGTGTTGGGTTTCAATGGATTTAAACACAATCGGTTATTTTGAACAATGTAATTGGTACTCCTTTGGAAAGAGTACATTTGCGAAAAGTTTTCAGAAATCGTTCACATTACTTTTAATAACGTTTCAAACACGCCATTGTATTTTTATTTAAGCCTAACATTCACTTCCCCGCTACCCTGATTACAGAATACCCTTATTTCCAAAATGGCGCCGGTGGGCTGCTTGATATTTACTCGTCTTTTAAGAATATTTTCCTCCTCAGAACAATCCAGTTTAAATGCAGATTATCTAAAATATGTTGCATTCATTGAATGTGCAATCTGTTGGGTAACCTAAACGGATATTTCTATATTGGCTATATTTCTTGTTCCTGTTTTTCTGGTGACCCTTGCCCACCGGAGCCTGCCCCACCTATGAATGTCTGGCAGATATGAGATAAGGGATCGAGCTGTAAGGCACTCTCCTGGTACAGGCTCTTGTTTACACTGTGAACGTCTGTGTAAGTCGGTTTTAATGAGCTTCCTTGTGTTCGGTGAGACTTGGGTCATGTTGAGAGGTGGATGTGAGTGACATCTGCCTGCAGATGGAAGGCCTGTGGGTCTCGTAACTGACTAAAGGTCTTCACAAAGCAATTCTGCATCCCTGATTCAAAAAGGACTACAGTACATGGTCACACTATACTAATCCCATGCAGCCGTCTTGGGAAGGTGACTGGTTGGGATGCAGCAATTGCATTTTCACTGGGCAGGACTGCTGGCAGTTTTATTAAAGCCTGACTTGCCAATACTGATCCCTGCTGATTTTGATTCCGACATACATTTGTCTTGTGCCTTTTAGTTACAGGATTCTCAGTTTGGAACATGCACTGAAACTAATTAATAACTTTCTTGATACAGGTGAAACCTGAATTCACTAGTAGATGTTCAATATGGGAAACATTATGCTAATTGTGTCACTTAGTTTGTTAGAGAGCTCAAAGACCCTCCCACGTCGCTTAAAGCTGTAGTTTGGGTACATTTTGGCTTCCCGATTTAATTACACCAACACCAGAGACAGAGAGTAGCTGGAATGCCTAAGAATGTCGGTCAGCTCTGTTTTTACCAAACTCAGATATTTTTCTAGAAACGCATTCAACATGCTAACTGATTTGAAGCAGCATCATCCAAGTGTGTGCTTTTGCCAGGAAATTCAGACCAAGCTAAGAAAAACTTAAGTTCACACTGCATGACTTCAGCCCTGATTTTCCTACATGCTGGTTCCAAACAAAAGCCCCGAATCAGAGTTCGATGGCCATTGTTCAAATATGCGACCGGACAGAGTCACCGATGCGTTGCAGACACCAACCGGATATCTAGCAGCATAAATATCTGGACCTGTCAGCAACTACAAATCCTGACGGTGTGAAAGGCGTTGCGACTAGCAATGAATGCGGCAATGAGCTTCAGCCTATGAGTGACTGGCAATGAGTGCGGCGATGAGCTCCAGCCAATGAGAGTGACTGGCAATGAGTGCGGCGACGAGCTTCAGCCAATGAGAGTGACTGGCAATGAGTGCGGCGACGAGCTTCAGCCAATGAGAGTACAAGACACGGGGTGTGGTGAAACCCAAGGAAGGGGTATAAAAAGGTGGATGTAGTTTGTTTAGAAATTGTTCTTAGTGTTCAGGGAAGAGGTAAAATTTCATTGGATTCCTCTATACGTTTCACACACTTGTGGTTTTAAATTGAGATGATGCTGCACACACTTATTCATTCAGGATTCAGACTTGCGCATATCAATCCCTTAACAAAATCAGGCTGTGTGCAACTGGGCAAATATATTGGCAGTACCAAATGTGAACAACATAATTTCAGTAACCCATGTTTAAATTGGTGTTTAGAGATTGATCTTTTTTTTAAAACTCTCACAGCAACATTAAAATCACTACTTTGATGGATCGCAATTTGTAACAGAATCGATCCCCCCCCCCTAATATTTGGCATTTTCCTCCTCTCCCCACAGCCACCTGGGCCTTCTCAGTGTCCACGTCAACTCCTTCACTTAGTGTCCCAGAATACCAAGGTTTGTTACTGGTGCTTTTTCATGTTTTTTATTCTCAGTAAACCAAAACCAGTAGCTGTATAGGTTTTTCTTCAAACATGAGGCAGATGTTTTCTCTTTTCACCTTCCTCTGTTCTCTCTTCTCTTTTCACTTCTTATTGGTCTGTTTGTTCCAAGGAGCTGATTTGAAGTGCAGCTATTCTGCGGATTTTGGCACTCCACGGGTCGAATGGAAATTCAAGGATTTGCAAGGGTCTCAGGTGTTTGTCGTCTTTGACAATAATCCCACTGGTAAGCTGATGCCCTGGATAGTTTGGCCTACAGGATGCCTTCGTTCCTGTGCGTCTCAATGTGCGGGAATTAATGATTGTTGGAGCCACAGGTTTCTTCATGCAGTGCTTCTGTGTGCAGGACAAACAGGAGAGCGATGTTTGGGAGTTACTGTTTTGTCTTTGGTTTCCTCAGAAAACTACAAAAATCGAGTGCAGCTGTACAAAGACGGGCTGATGCTGAAGCAGGTTACGCGCCGAGACACCGGGGAGTACTTCTGTGAGGTGTCCTCTGGCAGCATATACGGCAGCGCTGTAATAAACCTCACTGTGGAAGGTAGGCGGTATAGAAAGGATGATGACGCTCACACGAAGGTCGCAGAACATTAGCAGATGTATACTTGGTCTTCGGCAGAAGAACGTGAGACAGGAAGGGATCTTTCTAAGACCTCTCCTCCTGTCCTTGCAGTGCCGCCTTCTGTGCCGATCTGTGGCGTCCCTTCATCTGTGACCACAGGGTCATATGTGGTGCTGACCTGCCATGACCCAGATGGATCTCCACCATCTACTTACAAATGGTTCAAAGACGAGGCCCTCCTGCCGGAAAATCCCAACATGTTCCAAGATTTCAAGAACTTCAGCTACATACTGAACCCCAAAGAGGGCACTCTGGTCAGTTTCATTGGGGCTGGGGCCCGTTCTGCTGTAGGGAGCCTATCATCTTGCTGGAGTTTTTTTGTATGTTTGCGATCCTGAGAATCTCCACCCGTTCCAGGCATTTCCATCAGTGACTAAAGCGGACACTGGCAGATATTACTGCATGGCCAGTAACGGCATAGGTCCCGTCCAGAGTTGTGCAGCCCAGATGATGGCTGTCCGTGAGTTATGGCTTCTCTCTCTCTTTGTATGGACCCTATGTTTAAGCTTATTAAATATGGAATATTGGGTCTCTGGCCTAATGTAGCCCTGAGTCTGCAGGAACAGGATGGTGTCCTGCCGTAACACACCGCTGTGCATGTGCACAGGTGATGTGAATGTGGGGGCCATCGTGGGAGGAGTCCTCGTAGCCCTGCTGCTTGTGCTGTTGCTCGGACTTGGTCTGTGGTTTGCTTTCCAAAAAGGGTACTTGTCCAGTGAGTTTTCCCGTTACCTGCACTCCGCTCTCTCTTGCATGCATGAATATGTGGATATATGTTGAAACTGACTCATCTTGGTACGTGTTTATCTTCCCTTTTAACAGAAAAAGGTGACGGGTAAGTCTCCTCTTGGTCTTAATACATGTAAAAAAAAAAAAAAAAAAAAATGTTTTCCTCCTGTTGTTGCTGAATGCCTGTTAAACGCCTGGCTGCACCACGGGGTGGTCTGTGCTGTATGAGCCCTCCCCCCAGGCAGGTCTATACTGTGTCCCCAGGCCATCCTTCCCTGCGGCTGTGCCTCTATTAATCCTGCCATCGTGCATCAAGCACCCCGTGCCTGCACCGGTCTGCCGATGCATTGAGACATATATTTCAACCCCTGTATTAGCTTAGTCATATCATCTTGTTTGTTTGACTCATCTGCCGGCCCCTGGAGGATGGGCTCCCCCTTTGGGTCTGGTTCCTCCCAAGGTTTCTTCCTCTTAGGGAGTTTTTCCTTGCCACCGTTGCCTTTGGGTTACTCACTGGGGGGTCCTTACGAGGCAGAAATGTAAAGCGCATTGAGACAATGTAATGTTGTGATAATGCGCTATATAAATAAAATTGAATTGAATTATGCAACGTCTGTACCTTTCAGGAAAATGTATTTTGGGCTGGGTTTATACCCTCTGTTTTGTTTTGTAGCAAATACAAGGCTGGGCACATTGGTCCCGTGGGAAGAGCTGTGGACAGAGAAGATGATGTAAGTATCTGGTTGACCAGTGGCCTACAGAAAGCCTGCTCTTTGTGTAAATTTGCCTAAACTTTTGCATCATTGTATTTGTATACAGTACTCTGGTGCATTTATCCCAGCCTTACTGATCTGGGGCCTGTACTATGAAGCGGGGTTACTGGCTTATCGGCCACTGTTCTCTCGCTGATTGCCTTAATATCGATGTTATCTGTAGCTCATACTGTAGATCCTATATATTTACCCTGCCGCTGTTGTATTTTTCTGTCTGGTAGGAGTTGCTGCATATGATTAACTGTTTGCATTTTTTCTTTTAGGTTGATTTTAAGCAAAAGTCATCGTTTGTTGTGTGAATTCTGCTGGAATGGCATGTTGGTGTGTGTGGCGGGTGGGGGGTAATGAAGTTACTGTCATGAAGTGCAAAGCTTCACTTAAATGCTTTTACACAAAGGAGTGATTTCTGCAGATTATCCGGATCACCTCTCCATGTTAAATGGTTTACCGCAGGGTTTCTCAACCCGGTCCTCGGGGACCACCACACGGTCCATGTTTTTGCTCTCTCCCAATTCCCTGCCAATTGGGAGAGAGCAAAAACGTGGACCGTCTGGTGGTCCCCGAGGACTGGGTTGAGAAACCTTGGTTTACCGTATAATCGCCCATCAATTCATGTATAAACCTACGGTTGTATCAGTATTGGTACTGTGATGCATATTCATTGGTCCAGGCTGTTGTAATCATTAGCTGCATGGATTCCATGAGAACTGTTACTCCTACTGTGAGGGTGGTCCATCATTTCTGTAATATTTACTAGTTTTGAAACATGTCCTAAATAGTATTTAGGTGCCTGCTGCATATAAGCATTCCCTTTATTGTCATGCATAATCATGTGAGTAAATTTGAAATTTTATTAAATTGTGTTTTATTTTACTTGGTTTACTGAACACCAAAAAGTAATTTCTATTTCACTACGATTTTCTTGTATCCATTACGTGAGGGACTCTTCGTTGCATGGTAACGTTAAACGGCAGGCAAACACACAGTGAATAGTTTACAGAGAGTAAACGAGAAGGCGGACCTGGACACGCACAAAGGCTCCGTTCATCAGGAGCCGCGGCGGACACCGGCTGGGTACCAGACATCGCTACGGTCTTTCAGAGACGTGGGATTAAATTCAAGGCAAATAGTCAATACGCGTGACTTATGGCAAGATATATTTTATAAGATGTATTTTACAGCGCAGCAGTCTTCCTATGAAATACGCGAACATAACGGAGATAAATGAATTGTTATCCGTATATTTATGTGTTATTCACGCCTTTTTATTGCTCAATGTAATTTAAATGATGGGTTAGGTCGATGACGATCGAGTCCAACAATGTATTTTGCTGTCAAGTTCTGTTTCGATCTGGTAGTTTTAAACAAAAATAAAACTGAAATGGTAATGGATTAAATGAAAAAATAAAACTTATTTTTATTCTTTTGGAAATAAAATGCATATTCTTTTTTTCTACCTATACAATAAAAAGTCACATTACACGACCTGTTCCTTTAAGGGGAGGCGAGCACGCCTCTCGCCTGGGAGGATAGTCCAATGTTCAAGGTACGTCCGAGTCGTGCGATATGTTTCTCGATACCGGAATCTTGTGATTTAGGTTTATATTAAAAGGGGAAAGCGATGATCTGCATCCTGCTAGTCGCCGGTCACGGCACGATCCTTGAGACCCAGATCAAGGTAGGCTGCGCTCCGTGGCGTTGGTTCTTTTCTCTTATCAGGAGGTTGTATGCAGGGGGGGAGGAGGCCTTGGTGAAATCCGAAGTTTGAGGAAGAGAGTGAAGTTTGAGGGATGCACTGTCTGTACGCGTACCTGATATGTATAGAGTTTCGAAAGGGAAAAAAACCGTACTACTGCGCAATTTTCGTCGTGCAGCGTAGCGCAGTGCTCCACATGTTATATGAGAATTATATAATCGGTATGCTTTAGGAGTTTCTATTCCGTAGGTTAATAAAATTATTTTCTGCATCACTTGAATTGTGTGCACGAGTATGTTTTAGATTTATTCAAAGCAGAAAAAAAACAGAAAGCCCCCCCACACCCAGCAGACCTGCTTTTCTGCCTCGTGCATTTCGAGTCGAACAGGCGTCACTGTGCCGTGACGTTATTTGACGTTGATGGATGTATCTGCCCCCAGGATATGCGTGCAGTGAAGCATTTCGCTACAGACACAGTTACGCCGAGCTGAGTGTTAATGCTGTTTTCCCATGAAAGGGAAATATGCATTTAAGAAGTGCTACAGTGCTACAGCACCTCCCCTATGCTCTGGTCCTGAGAACCCCTAGTGAACTCGCCCCCCCCGATAGGCAGATTTTACCGGCTGTGAAACTTGTCGAGCCCCTTCCCCCAGAAAACTCTCCTCACGGCCCTGACAGTTATTACTGAACAGAATATTTAGTAACGTTCATTTGCCTATTTCGAATAGTGTTTTTATTCTACATTTGCATACATATAAATATATGCATAATATGTTACCTGAACACATAAAGAGTAAATTCATTCATACACAGGGATGGATACTTGCCTGGCTACAGAATGTGACTATATAGCCAATAAACTATATGCACAGCTTATCTTGTATTATCTATTTTCCTTACGTGGGGAAAAAGAATACAGACGTTTGTTCCAGGTTCTTGTTTGTCTGCTCAGAATGATACCAGTGGGCTCTACGGCCACCTGACTGGGGTTCCGAAGGCTCTGCTGCCAGGGATTGGAGGGAAGAAAATCCTGGACTTCTGGTGGGAGACAGTAAACATGTGAGTGACATCAGCTGGCTCTAATGGTGCTCTACAGTCCTTTATCTGCAATTATCATTGAATAACACAGGTTTTGTTCTTTTGATAGAGAGAATTATAGCTATAAAATTAGTGCTTATAGTAAGTTTTGTACACCAGGGCTTCCAGCTCTCACACATCTGTTGTGACACTCACACTTCCAGACTCTCACACTAGAAATCTTACAGCAAATTTATATTATTAATTAATTATAAATCTAAAACTAGCTACATCATAAGTGCTGGGGTAGTTTGCAAACCCTACAGACTATTGACAAGGTAAAAAAACTGTCACATGCATGTAAATGCGTGTCCATGTGTGTGCAGACTGGTCTCGAACTGAAAACCTCACTTTAGTGGGCTGATCAAAACTGGCCATACTGGTATACACTCTGTAATGCAGTGTTTCTCAAACTGGTCCTCCGCGACCCTCACATGGTCCATGTTTTTGCTCCCTTCCAGCTACCAAGGAACTGGGAGGGAGCAAAAACGTGGACCATCTTGGGGTCACTGAACTGAAAACCCAATTTAGACTTTCAGACTCTAAGAGCAGTTGAGAATGGACTGTAATTTGTGTTTCATATTTATTCCCCCTTGCTAGGCGGCAGTTATTCAGTGAGGTGTATCTGGTCACAAACGCAGATAAGTAAGCTCCGTACGCATATATCATTTAAACAATATCAGGCATCTTTGTGGCTTCAGAGTTCTTTCTGAATAGTAACTTGTAAATCACTACCTGTAAATTATCATTAACCTCATTACAGGTATAAACACTATGAGCGCTGGGCCACTGCCAATGGCTTCCCCGCAGAGAACGTGGTGAACGATGGCAGCACCACGCCAGAGGACTGCCTGGGCGCCGTGGCCGATCTGGAGCTGGTCATCCGGAGCCGGCGGCTGCAGGATGATATCATGGTGGTACGACTCGCTAAACAAGGCTGGGCTTCCAGTGGGAGAACACCTCCTCTCTTGCTTTTGGTATCAGTCTGACAGGAATGGAGCGTCCAGTCTTATCAAATGGGGCCTTTGAGTCTGTGAATTCTAATTCCATTTCAGTGTTCTGTCTTTTTGGACAGGAATGATTGGCTTTTGGATCTGGGAGGTCTCAGCATGGAGTTGATCTTTTTCTTGTGCTGTGCCTGTAGATTGCTGGGGACATGCTCTGCTCTGACCAGAACTTTGACATCGCCCAAGTGCTTCGCTTTTTCAGATCCAAGGTGAGAGGGGACCACCTTCCTGCTCTGTGTGATTAGACCAAGCTGCAGCTTGTCCTCCGGTGCACAGGGGGCGCTGTTGTGTGTGTGTGTTGTCTGCTGAAGTCACATAATTCTCTTTATGCCTTAGCCTGGAGATCTGGCCATATATTATGTGCTGGAGGAGGGTGAGCGGAGCTGCTCCAGGGGCATAGTTGAAGTTTGCCCTGACACACACAGGTGAGGAAGAAATTCTGCTGGAGGGAGCTCAGGATTCCACTGGCCCAGCTGCCATCGTGTTTATGGTGGAACTGGATAGCAACTAAAGTTTGATTTTGAAGCAGCTTTGAGGGAAGTAAGAGCAACTGCAATGCAAGAGTGGCCCTGTACTTGTTGTGGGGTCAGACATCACAAATGGTAAAATAGATATGTCACTTTAAAAAGTGCCATTTTTTAATGCATCGAATAAAAGTCACGGGAACGACCAGTCATTCAGTCACTGGTCCCTGTTTGCATCAGGATCACGCGCTTCCTGGAGAAGCCAGAAGAGGGCCTCACGGCCTCCCGCCTGGCCAGTGTGGTATTCTACTGCCTGCGCCGAGTCACGCTCCCTCGGCTCTCCCAGTTCCTGGCCTTGCAGTCGTCTGCTTGGGATCGCGCTCTGGGCAGGTTCTGGGTGAGTGCTGGAGGCGTGGAGGAGGTGCCAAGACGCATCACGGTCTTGGAAACAGGCTGCTTTACTCACCTTAATCTAACTACAGAAACCTCTTTAGCAATTAGAATTTGTAGGCATTTGGTGTCTGACATCACATCTGGGTGATACTGAAATAATGATTGTCATCGGAAGTACCCCCAGTCTGAGATCGTCCGTTGCATTTCAGGAGTGGCTCATTAATGACGAAAAAGTACCTGTGTTTGGGATGAAGTTACCAACCGGCTTTCAGCTCATTGGGCAAGTGGTGAGTAGAGGGAATTACAACGCAGAGTGCATCACATGCGGCGTGCATCACATGCGGCGTGCATCACATGCGGAGTGCATCACATGAGGAGTGCATCACACACCACGCAGAGTGCATCACACGCGGAGTGCATCACACGCGGAGTGCATCACATGAGGAGTGCATCACATGCAGAGTGCATCACACGCGGAGTGCATCACACGCGGAGTGCATCACATGAGGAGTGCATCACATGAGGAGTGCATCACATGCGGAGTGCATCACACGAGGAGTGCATCACACACCACGCAGAGTGCATCACACGCGGAGTGCATCACATGAGGAGTGCATCACACATCACGCAGAGTGCATCACACGCGGAGTGCATCACACGCGGACTGCATCACATGAGGAGTGCATCACATGAGGAGTGCATCACACACCACGCAGAGTGCATCACACGCGGAGTGCATCACATGAAGAGTGCATCACACACCACGCAGAGTGCATCGCACGCGGAGTGCATCACATGAGGAGTGCATCACATGCGGAGTGCATCACATGAGGAGTGCATCACATGCGGAGTGCATCACACGCCACACGGAGTGCATCACATGTAGAATGCATCACATGCGGAGTGCATCACACACCACACGGAGTGCATCACATGTAGAATGCATCACATGCGGAGTGCATCACATGAGGAGTGCATCACATGAGGAGTGCATCACATGCGGAGTGCATCACATGAGGAGTGCATCACATGAGGAGTGCATCACATGAGGAGTGCATCACATGAGGAGTGCCTCACACGCCACGCGGAGTGCATCACATGTAGAATGCACCATGAGTGTAGTTTAAATTGTTGGCTTTGCTGTCTGTGCTGCTACTGGTATTAAACCAATAATGGCCTTTAATTAAGAGAGCGACTTCCATTTTAAAAGAGCCGTCTCCTTTATTAAAATGACTCACACTTGCCACAATATGTATGTGGCTCTGCTTCATCAAAAACATTCTGTGCCCTCGAGGGTTGTGACGTGACATGAATGAACAAGGCGGTGGCGTCGTTTTCAGTATGTGACTGTTGTCACCAATGTGTTTGATGTTGTTTTGTCTGTACATCGGCCCTCTGAGATTTAGCGCTAAGATTTAACACAAAGGCTTGTCACTGGAAACACTTCTGGGTTGTACTGTAAGCGATCCATGTGCACTGTGCTTGTGTCACAGGGTCTGTCAGACTACATCCAGTGGCTGTCACGCTACGCCGCCAAGCAGGAGGGCACCTCAGGGAAACCCATAACCTGCCGCACATACGCCAGGTATGCCCACTGGGGGGGCAGAGTGCAGGTATGCCAGGTACGCCCGCTGGGGGGGCAGAGTGCACGTATGCCAGGTACGCCCGCTGGGGGGGCAGAGTGCACGTATGCCAGGTACGCCCGCTGGGGGGG